ATATTTCCCATAAGATATTCTCAAAATCAACATAAAATCCTTACAATATGTTTCTAATAGTGCTTTTAGCTATTTAAAGTTATTTAATACGAGCCAATTTATGATTTAAATATAAAATATATATAGAAATAGAATATGTAGAGCTATTTTAGGTAATGTGATCTGAGGCAAGTTGAATAATGAAAGCCAATTATTATTTAAATTTATAATTGGGTGTAACATTGCATACCTTGGGATGCAGATGCCTGGTAATCCTTCACTGAGGCATTGCAAAATGTCACGATGAAGATAATAGGGCTCTCTTATCCTCCTTGAGGCCATGAGCCATCGTTCTGCCATCCTTACTTAAACTCTGCAGCTCAGCCCCATCCGGGGTTTTTATTTCTCTCTCAGCTTTTCTGGCTGTAACCCACTTTTCCCTATATCCTTTCATACATATATATATATCCCTATATAGCCCCCCTTGAATAATCATAAACTAACGGCGCCTCAAAGTATGCAATGCATGTTCATGTGTGTGTGCGAACTGCAAAAGGGCGAATTAAATTGCATTTTGTATTGATTTCAATTAAGTTCTGTTCACTTATCCCCATTCGAGGAGGGAAAACTTTTGCCCCATCTTTCCTGTGTGTGATTTCAGCTTTCACTCGAGTGGCGTGTTACGTATACGCCTCGTTGCGCTTCAATTGGCTTGGGGGGCGGCAGATTGATTGTCTAATTGTTTCGCCGGCAAAAGTGCATCGCTGGCTGGAGTTCGATCTGATTTGTGGCCAGGCTTCCCTTCGATTTCGATGTCGATTTCGATGCCACCTCGTAATCTATTAAAAATGTGATTTTAATGCTTTCCTAATATCCCCGGATATCCGAGGAAAATTCAAGGAGGGCCACAAAAATGTAACTCGATATTTATGTCTCGATTTCTTGGAAGGAACTCGCGTGGGTGGGCGCCTCGTAATCCTTTCGGCAAAAAGGGGGAAATAATATTTATATCGCCGAATGTCGCGCATTAAAATGCCAAAACTTGGCCTGTAAATACCTTGTCATTTCGAGTTTTTATTGGCCCCCTTTATCTGCCACTTCCACTTTTGCACCCCCGAAGCCAGCGGAATTTAATTAATGGATTCGCTTGCAAAGCGTCTAATCGTAATGAAAAGTAATGCGCCCACACAGAAAATTAAAAGCCAATTAAGCGGTGACGAGCTTTTGCCATAACTCAGTTGCTTTTTCCCTTCGCCGTCGCCTTCACCTTTCCCTCGGAAAAATGCAGGCCATAAATGCCAATCATTGCAGTCCGGTAAAAAGGACTCCGGGACTCCAGGACGCCTGGCCCGGCTTCTTTCTGCTCCTTTCTCCACTCTCCACTCGGCGACTCGATGGCACAAAAAACAAAAAAACAAGGCAGCGGCAGCAAAAAGGCAAGCGGGCAAAAATAACAATTCAGCTTTTAATTTCATTGCTTTGAGCACTCTCCTGGGATTCGCATGATAAATGGCGCCGGCCAAAGCCAAGCCCCGTGGAAAAGCGAGGGAAAACGGGAAAAACAGTGGGGGAAACAGCCAAGTTCATTCACACGACTTGTGTAAATACGAACGGCGGCAGAGTGGAATATCTGCACTGAGCGAAAAAAGATAAAAAGTTTCAAGTCTTAGTTCCAAATTTGAATAGAATTCTTTAAAAACTTTAGACATTATTTTGGCTAATAAATTTGTATAAAACAGAAATTTGAAATATATAATAGGTATATTTTTTAATGGGCTTTTCCATAAAAAATAATTAAATTAAATAACAAACAATGAATAAATGTAGGTATACTTTTTAATGAATTTTAAAAATGCTACAATAATACAATAAATTAATTAAAACAAATTTATTTAATAAGAAATAAATACTAAAATAATATTAAATATTCATCAAATATTTCTTTGTCTGTGATAACCAAATAAAGTATTATTACTCGGAATGCCATCGCCCCACGGTAATCCCTCAAAATATGTTTCGGCCAATTCCACGAATGGCTAACCCTAACCCCTAATCGAACTTTCGAATTCGTGGCCAACTTTTTTCAGCTGAAAGCCAAAAAACCAAAAAGAAATACGGAGAGCAAGGCATTCGACTAAGCACTGACCCCCGCTTGATATTGTTTTAATGAAATTCGAATTGACTCCCACTCGTCGAAGGGGCAGGGCAGCCATTTTGTATTTGCCTCAACATTTTAATCTAATTTCAATGTTCTCGCCCGAAAAGCGAGGGCCAACGGAGAGGAAACGTTGAAAAGTTTTCAGTTTTTCACCCCGGTGAAAGTGGCAAGTGGGAAAAGCAAGTGGAAATCGCAGGAATTCACGCAGGGCGGGGCTTTCGATTCGCGTGAAAAATTCTGTGGTCAGTTGGGGGCCATATCCCTCTCAATATATATATCCCCCCCGTTACCCAGTCACCTTCCCCGATTTCTATTCGCCTGTCAAAGCGGTAAAGTTAACGCCAATTGCCAAACGCTCTCAATTAGCTTTGATTAAATGGAAGCAATCCTCGTCGTTGGCCAACTTTTTCGCATTTATCTGCTGCCTTTGCCTGGGTGCCTGGGAAAAAGGTATTAACATAACTCTGACAAGGGGTTCTGTGCACTCGGATCGTCCATAAATAAAGCTTAGTTTGAAGTGTCCGAAATCGGGGAAAAGGCAGCACAGAAGAAAGGAGGGAAAACTGTCGTGTTACAGAAAATGTTGCATGCCCATGAAAAATAATATTAGACCTCCTTGGGTGGTACTTTTATATAAATTTATACATTTTAAACATTTAATTCAGAAAAAGAAAATAATATAAAATTAAAATATAAAATCACCACAACTTTAAATTCAACTTCAGAGACATCTCAATAAAAACAATGTCCTCTATAAATCGACAAACATCAGGTGAAAGACGCCTAAGAGGCTCCTATAAAGCAGCAATCATTAATATTGGTCAGCCAATCAGCTGGGAATCTTCGAAACGATCAATGTACAAAAGCGATACAAATTGTTGTGGGCTCCCCGTTCCCAAATGGAAAATTCCTGTTAGATTTGGATTTGTACTCCGATTCCCATTCGGATTGGGACAGATGGTTCTCTGGGCAGAGGTAATTGTCGGTTTGCAGGGCATTCCGTTGCACAGTCGTTTTATTACGATTTGATTTGACCCGAAATGTTTCCCTTTGACGGCTCCCTGCACTCTTTTTTTTTTTGTTTCCTGTTTGGTCCTTGACTGTGTTGGCCTCTGGTTCGCGTCACCTTTCACCTCTTCACCTCTCGAGCGCAGCCGGTTGGCCTTTTCATTTGCATTTTGCATTTTGCAGCTTGCTTTTTTGCGCCTAATTAAGATGACCAACGATGCAGGCAGGACCAGAACAGGACCAAGCAGATTCTGGCAGGACCTGCAGCTCCACTGCTGCATCCTTTGAGCCAAACTCTGCACAGTGGCTTGGGAAGCCCGGACCGAACCGGCTTATTATCTCATCTAATTTACGGGGCTTCGGGTCTTCCCTTTGCCCCTTCAACCTCGCAGTCACAAGCGACTGTCGCCCAACTAAATGAAATCAAGCCGTGTAATGAGCAAAAAACTTTCTAAAATGTGCCAATGCTCCCCGAGCACCGAGATGGAGTCCATAATTTTCTGTTAACGAAAGCACCGAAATTCCCCCCGGTTTTTCCCTTTTTACACTCTGAAAAGTAAACCAAAAAGAAATGGGTGACCATTAAATAAATTGGGAAACTATTCCTTTAAGTTCAGGAATACAATATTGGAATAATTTTGTAATATTTATAATTTTAATTTGCAATTGCTCAACGATTTATTTAAAATCTTAATGAGTAAAGGAATTTAAATATTTTAAATAGAAGATTTAAATAAAGAAATAGGTTTGCAATATTGAAATAACTTTGTAATATTTTTAATTAACACTAAATTTACCGAAATATAGAAAATATATTATTTAAATTTAAAATAAGCCAATTTATTGCATAGAATTTTAATATGTTAAATAAACTGAAATATATTGGTTAACCTAAATTCCTAAGCTAACATTTTGTTAATTTCCGGATAACCCTTGTTTTTTTTGACACATCTTTTTGTCGACTGCAGTTTTCACTACATTTTAATAAAAACAATTTCGCGCATTGCGCTGCCATTTGTGAAGTGGGCAAAAATATTCCGGGAGCTGCGACAGAATGGCAAAAATTTTAATTGTCGCATGCCGGCGACATCCACATCCACATCCTTTGCATCCACGTCCACATCCTTACAGCCTGGAGCCTGCAGGATATCTGCGCTCCCGTGTGTCCTGGCGATGTTAATGTGTCCATTGTGCTGGTTAACAAAACCAATTTGCCTTAGTGGATTTTTATGTTGCGCTTCGGTTTTGTTTTCCAACCGGTTTTCCAGTTCCGGGCAACACTTTTGTCTGCGGTTTTCCGGGTTTGTTTGTTTGTTTGTTTGCTTGTTCGTCCATTTGTCAGTTTGTTCAGTTTGCCGATTCCACAGTGTCCTCTGTGTTGTTTCGACTGGTTATGAACTTTTGCCCGCTCGTGTAGGTCATGATTTGCTTTTAATTGCACTCCGCTGCGGGGCTCATTTGCCAAAAAAGCAAAACAAAAGGCGAAGAAAGGAAAGGGCTTTGTTTTCAGGTCTAATTTGAGCATGTGTTTTGCTGCAGGACTCGACAGGAAACTGCAGGACTCTTATTAGCAATGTGTGAATATTTAAAATAAAATAGAAAAAATACAAAAAATAATATATTAATTAAACTGAGAAGTTCGGGCTTTGGAAAAAGTACATTCTACATTCGTGTTTCTCTCAGTCAAAATGATATTCTTTTAATAAATTTAATTTTGATTATAATATTAATTATTTATCTCTAAAATTGTAAGCCCTTTTTTTGTATTTACAAAATAATTTACATTTAAAACATTTAAACACAAACTTATAAAATTTATATAAACTATTTAATATATTTCCCACTTTAATTTCAGCTTCTTTAAAGTAAATCAAGTTCCTGGCAAGCGGACTTAAATATCCAAAGATAGAGGTGCTCAAGCCATAGATAAAAATATGTCGACACACTGGTTAATTTTTGTGGGCATTTCGTGTCTGCTAGCAGGTGAGTTCAACTATTTTCCCTTTTTCCCTCCCATTTCCCTCCCCATTTTAGGCTCTTCGAATGCTCGAATGCCCAGTTCCAGATGCGAGGCATTCAAAGCATTTCTTGGGGAATTGCCACGCCCCCTGCCCCTGCCCCTGCCCGAACGCCCCCTTTCACCGGGAATCTCTTTTGCATGCGCGGCACGTAAAAACAATTTCGTTTGGCCCGCGACTGCAGCTTCATCAGCAGCAGCAGCTGAAATTGTTTTAAATCATCTACTCCGCCATCTATTTTATAAACTGAAATTTAAAATAACAAGCCGTAAGCGTGCTTTGATTTTTGGGGGCGTGGCAGGGGATGTGAAATAGAAAAATAGAAATAAAATAGAAAAAGTAGAAAATAAAATAGGGACAGCATTTCAGCGCATCGCAAATTGCAAATTGAGCGGAAAGGCATTCGGGTTTCCAGGTTGCTAGATTTCTAGTTTTCCGAAGCTACAACAGAATGCTCGCTAAAATATGAGTAGTTGGATGCACCAGTGGATGGATATATTTATGAAAGGATGGAAGGATATGGAGCCATCGAACTGCAATCCTTGGCCCTTTGTAAATTCGATTTAAATGAGTTTTGTCTTGTGCAGCGGAATGAGAGCAATAAACCTCTTATTCTATTTCACTTTACTTCACTTTATATTATTTTACTTTAATGGCTTTTCGAGGTCACCAACAACCGACAGAACCAACAACACCTCCCCTCTCTTTTTCCTTCCTTTTTTTTTTCTTGGCTTTGATGAAATTAATGTTCAAGTCAACTGATGGCAATCAATAAAATGTCAGCCGGGGAAAAATTGTTGTTGGTCTGATTAAAGTCAGCTTAGCCGGTTTCCTTTTGTCCCCTTCGTGTCACCCCATTTTCCACCCCCTTTTTCCCCCCGAAAAAACGGAAAGATCAAAGGGCGGACTGGGAGCCTAATGACAAGCGCTAAATGAAAAGCGATCAATAATTTTGTGACGAAACTTCGCTTTTTTCGGTATTTATTCCAAGCAGCTTGCGTGGCTAGAAGTTACAGTAAATTGAATAGCAATTAAAGGGAAGGTGGGGCTGCCTCTCTACGCTTAGCGACTTAACGAACTGGGTCATCGCTTTGGCGACCCCGTTGATAAGGCGGGGAGTTCCGTTAAATTCGGTTCCATTCAACAGGTCGATCGGCTAATGAAAAAGTAATGAAGTAAAATTGCTGGGAAAAGGAATTTCCATTTACTTTTTTTTGTAAGAAACTCAACATGTAATTTTCTTTATAGTTACAAATTGTTCTATTGGTTATAATAATTATTTAAATATTTTTTTGAATTTTTCAAAATTATCCAAAATAATTGAAATGTTTTTTAGACCTTAAAGAACATACATTTTAGAAACTTTGTTTTTTCTTTTAATAAAATAAATTAATTCATGATTTGCAAGAGACCTAATTTCTAGAATGGCGACATTAGGAGTCGCAGAAGTTCGAATACTCCCCTTGATTGCCCAGAAAGCTAGGCCGTCGCAAATCATAACCCTTGTCGGAATCTGGAAGCGACATAAATCAGGACAAACCACCTCCATCTCCCCTCCTATCTCCCCTTATATCTCCATTCCTATCCCCATCTCCAGTCCTATCAGCACTACAATCTCATCTCATCTCGCCGCACTGGCCAACTTAACCGCAAGTTAAATAGTTTTGAGTTTCGAGCAGGGCCATTAAATGGGATATGGGATATATGAGGGGGAAATATGAAAAATGCCATCAAAACGCCGCGAAATGAACTCCGACTTGAGTGACTAACTGAATGACTGACTGACTGACTGAATGACTTACTGACTTGGCTGAACTGAAACTGAAAAGACGCTGGGCCATTTATAACCGGGCTGCGAAGCGGGTGGTTCGTTTTAGGTTTCGCTTTGGGTTGTTGGGTTGTTCCTCTGATGCGATAAGAATAATTGGAATGTCAGTTTAGATGCGCGCACGTAAAATGCGAACGCAAAGCGACACATACACATACACATCCATCGCAGCAGCAGTGGGCGTGGCAAGCTGCACTCGAAAACTTTAACTATTTGTATTTGGGAAATATTTTATATTTCTGGGATATATTTAAAAAAAATGAAAAATAGTTTAAGTTTCAATTAAATTCTATGAATAAATAACATAATCATTAAATAAATAATTTAAACTTATCAATTACTCAAAGTAAATTGTAAAAAACATTTAGAAGATTGCAGTCATTCATACATATAAATTTATAATAAATTTATATGAAAGAATTAATAATTTAATAAATAAATAAATAAATTAAATTAATAAATTACTCAATGTAAATTGTAAAAAACCCTCAGAAAATTTGGAGTGTTTACAAATTAAGAATAGATTTATTCTTAGGCTTCAAAGTGCATAATTTTATTCAAGTGCATATGCAGTAAATATGGTACAATAGTTGCAGCTGCTGTTGCTGTTGCTGCTGCTGATGTTGCTGTCGTCGTCGTCGCCGGCGCACTTGGCTGAACAATGACATAAGTCTAATGACAAGCAGAACGACGATGGCCGAATAGCGAATGGCGAATGGCAAACGGCGACCGCAAAGCCACCGCCAGGAAAAAGGAGGTCCTGCGACATAGGGAGATCCTGTGAAGCCGGAGGGGAGAGAGGAGACAGGAGAGGGGGGAGGCCAACCAGAGCTTCAGCTGCTGTGATGACACTGACAACAATGACAACGCTGACATGACATGCCGGGCGCAGGACGAAGGGTCGCTGGGAAAAAAACAGGCGAAAGAATTTCTCTTTCGAAAAGAGCGCCGTTCCAAGTTGGCCATAAAGAAGCTGTAATACCCTAAAGTATCCGAGGGGGAAGCTTTTAAATTTTCAACCATCAGCCAGCCACAAAAGAAGTTGTTTATATTTGGTGGATCTGAGGAGTTGTCTGTGGAAGAGTGAAAGCGGTTAAAATTTCAAAGCTTAGGGAACTTGGTGATGTATTACAATGTAAGGCGAAAACATTGCTGAAATTGCAGGGATTTCCTAACATAACTGCAGCTTTAACCAAATAAATAAATAATAAAAAAATAAAATAAATAAAATTGAACAAATGCCAAATCCCCTAGAAATCAAAAAAACAAATGCCACACGTAAATAAATATTTATAAAGATTCAATAAAAAATATTAGTTAAAATTAATAAATAAGAATAGGAACTAAAATAAATTCTAAAAGACTAAATATTAAAATATTTGCAAATGTTTTAATGTAATTTATTTATTTTATCATATACTTCATGCGTAGTTCATTATCACTTTTCGCTATCCTATCCATTCCGCCAAAGCGTCGAGAAAGAAATCAAATTTTTAACACAGTGAGGGAAATCGGTGGGTGGCTCCTGAGTGGGTGGTGCTTCAGTGGGTGGTGCCTGAGTGGGTGGACAGCGGGTGGTCAGTCTAAGCATAAATTTAGCTGCATGCTGCGGTCAGCAATATGCGTCCATGATAAACGAGCTGGGAGGAGGGTTTTTGGGGAGTGACAGAAGAGGATGCACTGGATGCAGTGGAGAACTCAGCCGACCAGCCAGCCGTGCCCATTTATCGTCCAAATTGAAATTGAAAATCAGGCAGGCGCAACGTGGAGAGTGGAAAATAGGGAAACGGGAATCGGGAATCAGGAAGCGTGAATCCCGATGTCCTCTTGAGTCCTCAAAAAAACGGCGTCATGATTAGCTTGTTGCGCATGCGTTGTGGGCGTGGTTCTTCATCTGGGGGATCCCCAAAGAGTACAGAGAGTCCTTGTGGTGTCCTGTTGCTGACACCATGTCCTCGAGGCGGCCATTAAATGGTCAGCAGAGTGTGGTTGTTGCATGTTGCAAGTTGCTGCTGGCATGTTGCATGTTGCTGCTGGCACTGCGGCCAAAGTTACTGTGTTGCTGTTACTGTTTTCGATGTTCCTCGTGTTCTTTCGCTTACTTTTAGCACTTTTATATACAGAGCTTGTGTTTTTCACCCCCTTCCCCTATTTTACCACCCCATTGTTGCTCCATTGCAATTACAGTAGTTCCTTCCTTCCTTTGGTGTGGTTTCAACCGATATTGCTGCTGCTGCCGTGGCCATACATCATTCTGCTGCTGTTGCTACTGTGACTTTCGAAAAACATTGAAAACAAGTCAAAGAATCGTTTGTTTCTGTCCGCAAAAGTCATGAAAAGTGTGAGTTATGTGTTATGTGTCGGCGGGTGGGAAAAGAAAAATTGAGGCAGGCAAACGTTGTTTTGGTTGGGGAATTAAAAAATAAATAAATAAAATAGGGAACATACATATAAGATTTATCCTAAGAAAAATATTCTCTTTGCTATAGAATTTTATATATATTTTTTGACTATTTTGTTTTTAAAATAAAATTACAAATAAATAAACATATAGTTTGAATACCATTATGCAATCATTAATAAATTTTCATAATACTATAAGTCAAAGATTTCCATTACATAACGTTGGTTTTCCCGTTGATGGCCAATTTGGGTAATATTTTTCTGTTCTGGCTCGCAAAAAATGACCAAAATGACCCGGAAATTATGAAAAAGAGCCAATTGAAAATGTAAAATTGCTGAACTTGGCACAAAACTCATTTGACATTCAAATGGCAGTCGCAGGGGCGTCGAAGGGGGGAACACATTGAACATTGGGCATGTTGAAAGGATATTGAGGGGGTGTTCTCAAGCATTTTCACTCGATTTTCGCCTCCAAGTCGCTTTTTTTTTGGCTAGTTTCTTGTTCGCTTCGCCAGCCACTTTTCCCATTTTCCCACTTTTCCCATTTCGACTTTTTCTTTTTGATAAATGTCATGGGTTGATGGGCGGATGGGCTGAAGGGCTAAAAAGCTGATGGGCTGGCAGGGCCATTAGGCGACAGCCTCTCAGCCCGGGTCAACAATATATTACACGCTTATATGCAAATGAGTTCAATTTCTGACCAACCGAAAAAGCATTATGGACCACTGGACTAC